TTTGCAGGGCAGTAACGAAAGGCTTTTGAGGCCAGGAAAAACATAAAGAAAAAAAAAAGGTTTCTTTTCCTTCATCAGAGGATAGACATCAATAGAGTCACTGAAATAGCTGAAATGATGCAGCCTGTGTTTTGTGCCATGTCTAACACCTTGGGAATTTCAGGGGAAAACACTCTAAAATCTTAACACAAGTCCTGCAGGAGGTGGAGAGTCAGGGAGGTTCAGAATTTACCTTCTTTTCATCTTCTAGAGGCACTCCGTGGAATTTGAAATTACTGTAGTCAGTATTCAATAGGGCTGCCCAAGTATAAATGTAATAAACCAAATGATTCTTCTATCAGTTATTCCTTTTTGAGCTATCTTCCCAAGATACTGCTCTGTGCACGAGGGGATTTCTGTAATAATTACCCCTGAGTACCCAGTGGAATGTAAGTGGTAATTACACTGTCTAAGCATAGAAATAGATCTTTGTGCCGTTGGTTCCACAACTGACAGGAAGCCTTACTCCAAATTTCTGAGGGTTTTTAAGTTTTCATATTCCTCTAGCACTGCAGGATTGAAGATACACACAGGGTGGTGCAGACTTTCTTGCTCTGCAGCTTATATGAACTACCTGTCTCATAACTTGTATAATAAACAGTTGCTGTACCCTTGGGTTCCTTTCCTCAGCTGCAGAGCAGGGACGGCAGATGTTCTGCAAAATGAAATCCTTCGTGATTACGGGATTGCTCAGAGGGCCATAATACCTACCCACCCCCAAGAGAATGAGTCAGTCAAGCAAAATAGAATACTATTCCTATTTCCTGTCAGCACAAATGGAAATCGTAACACTGTTAGTAAACCATGCCACCAAATGGAGGCAAAGAACCAGATGCAAAACTGGCAGAAGCAGCTTATACCTGTGTTGTAAAGGTCTAAGAGATCATATAGAGTACCAAGGAGAAATGTTCTGTCTATTGGACAAAGGCCCACCTTCACCACTCAGTATTTTTGCCAAGCTAGAGGGTCTCAGGAACAATGAAAATGTTGAAAAAGCTAAAATGCAAACTGAGGTCTTGGAGACAGTATGTGCAATTTGTACCTCTATCTTAGAAGGTCTGCTCAATATCAGTTCACAATATTCTACTCCTTCACAGTTATGTACTAACTTTCACACTTATTTACAGAAAAATAATTTATCTCATCAGACTGACTTGCTGAATTAGAGATTCTAATTTTCCTTTTCATGCCTTGGACCAAGACACCAAATATAAACCCTCTGTCTACAGTCAGCCTCTAAATATAGCCAAGAATTAAGATATTCCTGCTTCTGCATCCTAAATAATCTAATGGAATCAATTATGGTTTTGCGTAGATGACATCTGGTATTTGCAAATACAACATGAAACATGAAATCCAACCAAAATAAGCATGAAACTAAAGTTTCCACCCATCCTACTTCATCCTCAGTAAACATATTATTGTTTTGCATCACGGGGTGGATTTTTCGTATTTCTTATAGATTTCATCTTAGAAGCTCTCCAAGAGAATGTAACACTTGCAAAAGAAAAGGGCTGATAACTTTGACTTCAGCCAGTGGTTAAGCCAGATGAGTGAACATTGCTCATGTATTCACTGAGAACACTGCCTCGTTGCTTGGATTTACAGCCTTGCGCTTTTATTGATCAGCATGCCGGTCACACCAAGCCAAGTAACAGTTTGCATTGTCAGATACAGAGAGGTTCAGAGTGAACACCAACCTCAGCTGTGGAAAGGACAGAATCTGAAATGGATTAAATACAACTCTGTCCCACTGTGCCGGTATATACCATTATATGGTATATGACATTACAACTGGAAGCTAGGGATAGTCCCACTACACAGTATCCATATTATCAATCCATTTCAAAATATAAGCCCTTGCAGCACTCTCCTAGCATCATAATTAATGCTTTAGCCTCAAGTAGCCAAACATCCTGTAATAGGACCAAACTATCCTTATTATTAGGATGCAAACTATCCCTGGATGTAAGTACATGGGGTTTAGGGGGGTGGGGGGAGTTTCTTTTATTTTCTTCTTTCATATACAGCCTAAATAGGTAAATGTAACCGTGCCTGCAACCAAGGACTGCCCTCTTCCTCCTCCAAATAATGCACGGTCAGGAAAGGGATGGGTCATGCCCCTCCTCATAGTCCAGAGCAGAGCAAAGCAAACCATCCCACTCTAAAGACTGGCTTGCAGCCTGGGGGCTCTGAGCAGCCTTGGAGGAAACCATGCCTCCTGAAACTCTCTACAAGGAAGACCCACGTTTCCTTATAACTCCTGTTGCCACCATGTACTGCCAGACTTGTAAACCTCCAAAAAAGTTGGCCATGGCAGCCCATGCCGAAAGCTGAACACAGGAGAATTTTCAGTGGTAGAAGTTGCTGGGCAGGGCTGAAGATGTGGATCATTCCTGTGAAACCACGCTTCTGACTTTGTCTCCTGGGCATGCCATGTGCTGTGTGTTAGGAATTACAATCGCAGATTTTGCCTTTCTGCAGCTAAGCAACTCCCCTCTGTTACACCGTTAGTTCCTGCCAGCACAAGCAGGGTCTGAAGGAAGCGGTCCCCGTGTTCCCCTCGCCTGCCCGATGTTGGTGCTATGCTGTTCTCTTTCCTCCCTTGCTCTGGCCCAAGTGCTCACATCTTCCCAACGTGAACAAGACTGGGACTTGAACAAAATTAAAGCTAATTTTATTTTTTTTTTCTTTCCCCTCCGGATTAATTTTAAATCATGTCTACTCTTTTATCCAATTCACCTAGTACCTGCACAAATGCTGCTGCCAGCACAGAGAATGTGACAGCTCAGGTGAGGGAACGAGTGACTATGAGCTGTGTGGGAGAAAAGGGAGAGAGACATTTATTTCGGTGGGACAGCAGCTTCTGCTGTGTTAAAGTTATTGCGAAACTACAGCAAAGTCACCAACTGTCATCATCATGTCTGAAAGGATAACCTTCATCCTGCCCCCTTGTATTTATAGTGCAACAGGTTCTAGCCATAGCACCTTTTTTATACATAGCTAAAATTGTGTAAGAAATGCATAATTTTAGGTACACAGGTAGAATGCATCGAATTTTTTCATTCCAAGATTACAGCCTTATAAGTACTTAAGTATGGGTAATTTCACCGGTTTCTGAAACGAATAAATTTTGTGATTTTGTACAAATGTTTCTAGAATCTTTATCTATCTTGCAGGAAACAAACATTCCCCATGAAAATATCTGGCTTTAATTTCTTTAACCATAGTCCTTGCACTTGCTGAAGCAAGTACCATTCACAGCATGACACAGCTATCTATGAAATAATTTAACAGCATCATGTGCAGTCAGCAGTTCAGCACTGTAATTTGGAGAAAGTGATTCCATGCTGTCACTCACTGTCTGAGCTACACATTATACTGCAACACTTTTCCTTTCCTTCCTATCTATGGTCATTTTTTCAATTATGTTAAAGTTTCCCTTCTTAACAAGACATGCTTACATTTGATTAAAAAAAGGTGTGTTTTTAATATGTTAGTTTAATATTCAGGACTTCAGTACCTATAAACCATAAGAAGTAATATCAATAGCATAATCAGGTGCCCTCACCACAGGTATTAAATGTTTCTTCATTGTTTAATTTGACCAAGCACTTCAGAAATGACTTGATTGTATTCAGCGACAGTGTACATGGAAAAGTTATCCGTGCAAGAAGCTGAAATAACCACCAGCCACGAGTTTTGCCTCATGAGTTCTGAAGCTCAGCATCCTTGCTACATGTTGTTGCATGTAAACTGCCTACAAGGACACCACTACAGAAGAAGAACGTCAGGAGTTGTAGCAACCATGTAGATGCAAACTCTCACAGCCACTGCTTGAATGCACGTAGACGGAGTAGCACATCTCTCGGTTGTCTGTGCGTGATGTATCCAGGTGGCAAATCAACCAGAGCCCGCCGTTCCCCAGCACTCCTGGCTACAGCAGGATGCCCCGGGGGTGTGGAGTACAGCGCGTGCTGCTCATGCCAGGCCACCTTCTACACGCTTCTGTTTTAAACTGGGCTCCTCCCCACAGTAATCTGTTTGTACTTTTTCAAAGGCAAAAGTACTAAATTAATTTATTCTAATTTGTCATAACCATCACTCTGGAAACTTATAGTTGCTGTATAAAGATGTGAACCGTTAGAAGGATCCTGACATCTAAACCTTCCTAAATAACATAACTTAGCAATAACTGTTTTTACTTCTTTTGAAAACTAAGTAATGCATGGAATATTACTTCCAGCTGCCTATTGCAAGTCACTGGAAAGAAAAATATCTTGGCCTAATAAAACCTAGGAAAGACTGGCAATGAGGAAGAGATAATCTTCTGTGACCAGAAAAGAGCCTCAAAGTTGGAAAAGTATTTTAGAAATACATATTTATTATTCCTTTTATTTACAGAAAATAACTGGCAAGTAGCAAACCTCCCAGTTATGACACTTATAATAATCTTGTCTTTTAGCAGACAGCTATTAGTGCCCGTGATATAACATCATTCCTATCAATTTCATTGGTATGAAATTCATTGACCAGAGAAATCAAAAAGTAAAAAAGATCAGTTTCCAGCTCATGTTTAAAGTGAATAACCATCCCGCTGTATTTTTAGTACAATGGAAAGAGCTGTGATAGTCATATGGCAAAGAACAACTCAGTCCCTACCAAGTGCTACACAAGCTGTGTAGCTTGCTCTTCACAAGGGTAATAAACAGCCCTTTTAGTCCAGCCAAAGTGATAAGAATAGACGTGATTCAAGCGTGTCACTGAAATGCGGTCTTCTGAAAACATCTTTTAACACAATAGAACTATTACTCGGCCAGCACAGTTGACGGCCACGTGCTTTTGTTGCCACGAGCTGTGAGAACCAGTAGAATCAGAGATTATTGTAGAAATGTGAATGTACTTTATGACGGTCTGTAGTAATTCTGTACATCTCTTATGTCTGTGTTCTTATAGCCACTTGGGCACTGAAGTAGCTGAAATGAGAAAGAGGCAGCAGTCACAAAATGAAGGAACATCAGCTGTGTCTCAAGCACCTGGAAACCAAAGGCCCAACAACACATGTTGCTTTTGTTGGTGCTGTTGCTGCAGCTGTTCATGGTATGTCCTGTAGTATATTTGGTTTCGTATCCACCACAGGTAAACGATGAGAATGGAAAGTGCTGAGCACTGGGAACATGCAGACTTGTGGGAGAGGATTGCTGCCTAGAGGCACAATTTAACATTTCACTTTAAAATTTGATTAAACAATTCCCTGATTTGGTTGGACATCTTGTGAGGGGGAAGAGGAGAGAATAGTAAATTCAAGCTATATTTACCCTACTTAAACCAAAACTAAAAGAGTAAAATTCAGTTGTAAAACTAGTATGTGTGAATGAGATTTGATACTGAACATTTTATATTTTGCATTCAAAACATTTCTTTTTCTGCTTGTACTTTTGATACTGCAATTCTCCACATTCAGGAGGGAAAAAAGGAAATGGTCATAAGTGTGAATGTATGGTGACCTGTTTTACTACTTAGTTGTTGAATAATATATATTCTGTAAATCTGAAAATGCAAGCCTTAAATTCCACTTTATCTTTTAACTGGTGTGGCACAATGTTAGTGGAAAAAAAGGCTGAAAAATCGTGGCTGATTTTCTCTTCCTAAACAAAGAGTTCATTTGGAAAGAATTATGGGTGCTTTCAGAAACAGCTTTAAATTCTCAGTATCTTGAGATACATCAGGTCTCTATTTCTTATTTTCATGAACGCAGTGTTGTAACATAAAGTAATTGATACGCAGTACTGTTTGGAGCCTGTGCATCCTGTTACACACACAGTTCAGTCTTTTTGGAGTGTCCATTCCTCTATGTATCTCTGTTATTTTCACTTGAATCAGCCTTCTGGCCCCAATCTAAAATCTGAGGCTATTTGCCCCCAATGTATTTAAAAATACATAACAGCATGCATGCATCAGGCATCAAATGCGACAGCTTTTTCCAAGATGCCACATCCTGGAGGCAGTACCAGGGTGGACCTGCCTTGGCTGTTGCTTCCAATTTCACCTGGAGGCAGAGGATATTTGGAGCAAGGATGAGCGAGAGGTCACGCTTTCAAAAAGACACTTTGCAATGTCTTCCATCCATACAGCAAAGAGCTGAAGGGTATTAAATGGGAAGAAAAGGGAGGATGTTTTGTCACTGTTATCTCTGCTTTGTGACGAGGGCACAATGTAAGATTAGCTATACTGTTACAGACCAAAGGCTCATTTAGCTCGGCACCCTATTTCACAAAGTGACCTGTAGCGGATGCCACAAGGAAAAAGATAAAACAAGTGGACATGAGCCTTCTTAACCCACCCACAGCAAAATTTCTCACAACTTCTGACAATCTGCAAGTTAGGGGCTTTCTGGCCCAGAGGTTATTTCTGTGTGTTTTATAGCCCTTGATGGAATTTGCTTTCATTAATTTGTCAAACCATTTCTGAAGCGACTTCCTGAACTCATCTAAACTTTTAGCATCCAGTTTCCCATAGCAATAAATTCTACAACAGACCTGTGCACTTTATGAGCTATTACTCCCTTTTATTTGTTTTAACCTACTAGATGTTAAGTTCATTTGATGCTTCCTTGTTCTTTTGATTGTGAAGAACAGTGAATAATTGTTCCCAGGTTGATCAAGCTTTTATAGAGTTCTCTCGTATCCCCCTTCAGATGTCTTTTCTTCCATAGTCTTCTCTATTTTAATCTCTGTGATACAGAAACTGACCCAGGCCATGATTTATCCTTATCTCTCTTCTATCTGTTCACCTACCTTGTGTGTCTCAATGTACCTTTCCTATACTACTATCTCCTGCCTGAGATGTGTGGCTACATGTGTTGCAGTAGTCAACACATGGGTGCGTCATGTTTTGTGTTTGCTTTTGATTTTTTATTATGAATTCCTAGCACTCTGCTTGCTTTTTAACAATCCCTGAGACGATGTTTTTATAGAATTATCCACCATGACTACAACATCTCTTTACTGAATGGAAATGAAGCCTATCATTGTGCATGTACAGCTAAGGTTGGCTTTTGCCTTGCATACTGGAACATGAATGGCCACAAAACTACCAGTCTAATTTCTAAAACTTGAAGACAACTGATTTTATTTTTGAGCATGCTGTAGCTCAAGAAGTCTTATTTGACAACTACACTCTATTTTGAAGCTTTCAGGAGCTTTGTGACCCTTGGAGTGCCTCCACTCCTTAGAACGCAATACCATTATATATTTGAACCGCTTATGCATATTAAATCTAAATTAGAACAATTATTCCTTTAAAATGTAGGATGTCCCTCCAGCTGCTTTAGTAATTGTTTTTGCTGTTAATAGCCTGTCTTTTGCATGTTGAGGGCGTTTTTTGGTAAAGTAGATTAGAGATGCATGGAGAAATCCTGTCAATTTAAGCTAGTTTTCAGGATTAAGTCAAAGAATAGGTCAAAGGGGATAGTAACATCACTTGCACCTTCTAAAATGAAAAAGGTAGAACAGATGATGTAATAAGTCTTTTCCAGCTCTATCTTCTGTGATTCTCTACTGGAAACTCCATTAGAGGAGAGATGGGACAAAACTTTGAAAAAGGCAATATGAAATGTTTCAGAATCTCAGTTGAAATGAAGTAATTGATTCTGGTGCCAAATTTGTTTGGTAAATTTAAACTGTCCAGGTAGAGTACAGATTACTGCTCTTGCCTTAGTTGTGTACCCTAAAAATATACAAAAATTATTTATTTAAAAAAAAAGGTAACAAACTTTACTAGTCACTTAGTATATAAGGGTTTCTAGTAGGTAATTCTCTAGGGTAGTGCTCTGTAATACGAAAGCCACCAAATCAATCATTGTAACAGGTTCTCTGGACCTGATGTAATTGCATGCTTTCCCTAGTTCCACAGGTCTTTGTATTTGAGTAACATGAATTTCTCAAGAGATACCTGTCTGGAAATGTTGCTGGGTTCATTAATGCTGATGACAATGCTTTAACTGTCATTACCAAGATTAGGAGACTTTTCTTCTGTTTTTTCCAGCAGCCCATGTGACTGAGGACAGCTCCTGTATCACTGACCTCTTAGTGCCTCAACTTCCTCACCATTCATAGAAATCCATGGGGGGTGGGGCAGGTTTTTGTGCAGCTTTTAGTAAGAATATCTCACTTGTATCTGTTTGGAGCATTAGTTCAATAGTTCATATGTCCAAACAAATAATTAGAATTCTAAAAATATCTTCTGCGAATCGTTAAATGTCTGTTTTCTTCTGTTCTACCTTGCATTAAAATCAGAAGAGGCATTAAGTCTTCCGTTTGCATAACAGCACAGGCAAATATTCACACCTTTGGGGAAATAGTACCTTGCCTAATAGAGACTTGTTAACAGCAAAAAGTTAGATTCGAAAATTATTCAGTATATCTTACAAGAAACTTATTTTCTCTAATAATTCTTTCATAAAGGTAACAAATATTTGGAGTGTTTTTTCATTGTTGTGGGTTAACCCCAACAAGCAGCTCAGCCCCACGCAGCCGCTCACTCCCTCCTCCCCAGTGGGATGGGGAAAGAGAATTGGTAGGGTGAGAGTGAGAAAACTTGTGTGTTGAGATAAAGACAGCTTAATAGATAAAGCAAAGCTGTGTGCACAAGTAAAGCAAAATAAGGAATTCATTCACTGCTTCCCACCGGCAGGCAAGTGTTCAGCTATTTCCAGGAAAGCAGGGATCCATCATGGGTAACAGTTACATGGAAAGACAGACACTACAACTCTGAACCTTCCCCCTTCCTCCTTCTTCCCCAGCTTTTACTGCTGATCCTGATATCACATGGTATGGAATATCCATTTGGTCAGCTGGGGACAGCGGTCCCAGCTGTCTCCTCTCCCAACTTCTTGTACGCCCCCAGCCTGCTCACTAAAAAACAGAGAAACCCTTGACGCTGTGCGAGCACTGTTAAGCAACAGCTAAAGCATTGATGTGTTATCAACACTGTTTTGGTCCCAAATCCAAAACACAGCACCATATGGGCTGCTATGAAGAAAATTAACTCCATCCCAGCCAGACCTAGTACACCTCTTGGCACTGATGATTGTCAGGACAGCAAATTGTTCGATTTACAAGGACAAAGCAGGGCCGATTGCCAAGATTTGCTCAGGTTGGAAAAGATGGAGATAAACAGAATCCTTAAGTTGGTCATTTTATTGTAATAGGTATGGTTTCTCCTTAGTGGAGAAAATAAAGTGCTTCTGAAGTCCCCAACAGGAAAAGCTTGTCCAGTTAATGCAGAGGCAGATGATAGAAGATCCCTCTGGAGTTCTTCTATAAGATCTTCCTCTCTCTACTGACCAGATACAGACCTTAGGCTCTTACTTCAGGAAGACTGCCTCACTAAGGCATCTAACAGATAAGTACCAGTCAGGTACCGGTAGGAGCTGGACTGAATCTCACCCCGTGTCTTAAGCCTCCACAAAACACCATTCCCATAGAAGACTGAAGAAAAGGCTTCCTCACTAGGTGTAATTTCAATGACTCGGGTAGATTGAGAGTTGCAAAATTTGCAGTAAGACGCCTAACATGACAGTCTGTAATTTCCTTAATTACCCTTTTGCAGAGAGCTGTGCATTTACTATTTAATGCTATGGCTTTACAGTTTTGAGCTTGGGTTGGTGAGGTAAGGATAGAAGCCTGCTATTTCAACTCCCCAACCTTATTTAGCAATACGTTACTTCAGCTTCCTGAGCAGACATGAAACCAGTCATCCTCTTGCAAACACTTGTAAATCACATTCTTCAAAAAAAACTCTCAAGACACTAGCACAGGGAGCTTGGCTATTCCGCCAATTTTATTTTGCTTTCTCTTCTGTCTCCCACCCAGAGCAGGAGCCGTATCGTTTTATCCTCTCTTCCTTTCATCAGGTGCTCAGTGAATTTTAAAGCTGTGGGACACTGATGCCTGATAATCCATCTCCTTTTACTACACACAGAAGGCTCAGAAGGCGTCTAACATCTTCCCTGCAAGAGACCTTAGCAGTACGGGAGTCTGGGGGACATGAAAAGGCTTCCTGTGGATAAGTGAAGATGATCACACAACTTTACTTGG